CTAAAATGCTGCATTTTCAGTTGGTATCTCTTTCATAACCTGCATTCTGCACAATTACTTCTACTCTGATAATTACTGCCCCATAGGTACAATGATGGTAAGGAGAAAAGTATTAAGCAACCTTAAAGTACATAAAATAGATCAGTGGTGTATTGAGTTGAACCAGTTCATAATTTTTTACATAAAAATTATTAACCTGCTTAACATTACATAAAGATAACATTGAAAGTTTGAACAAGACGAACAGGAGCATATTTATCTCCAACTTGTGAAGCACATTTCAGTAAAACTACAAGGTTAGTTCAGAAGAATGGCTAATATGTTGTAGTTATTGTCAGGTTATTACTAGTATATCTGTATAAAATTGTGATTCTTCAACTTAGGCAATCAACTGTTTTCACAGTGACGTCAGCATTTCAATTTTAGATAGATTTTGCATTATTTTCAATAGAAGACCAATCCAAGTCAAGATTTTGTGCAAGAATTGAATAATTATTTGTTGTTCCAGCAGAGTATGTATTGGGTAGCACAAGATATTAAATACTGAAAAAAGAGAAATCAGCAGCAAATGAATTTAAACAAGTAAATATGTCTCTCAAATAATAAAACTATGAAGTGAACATTTTATTAAGGAATAGCATAAAAGGTTAAAGATTACCAAAACCCCTACACTGGTCAAAGAAACAGACTTAGATTCATGCTGACCTCCTAACTTCCCTTGAGAAAACCAAGGTTGTAGGAAAATCACTGTATTCTAAATTCATTCTACTCACCATAATTGAAAGTAATTATGGTAAATCACTCTCAATAGCAGAATCACCCCTATTTGTTGAAATATAGCCACCTATTTAGGACAGCCTTGAAATAGATCGTTTCAATAGATTTGATAATTATTGTCAAAAATAATGGCGAAGATTTTATAACCAAACCCTCATAATAAATTAGACTAGAAGATTATTATTATGGTTATATAATTCTTCATTCAGCGTACCTATCTTATTTTAAATAATTGGTTGGAGCTAAGAGGAAAATAGTCTTAAGCTAGCCCTCGGTACAAATCTCAAAATGTATTATGATTATGTCAGAATGGATTCAAAAGTCTCACACAAAAGTACAACCCAAAGGTTGCAACAACTCCAAATAAGATGCATTAAACGTAAAAATATTTCTTCCTATTGAAAATACTGATTAATTCATAACCTTCCATACCAAACAGGATTATTGCTCACATCAAAGTGAAAGAATTATGAAACCTAAATAAAGTTCTGTTTAAGCTTATTATCTTTTTTTATCCTTGAGCTGCATGGAACAGTTCTAGGATCTAGATTTCACTAGGCTTGTGTGATTAATTTTGTCGAAATTCATTTTACATTTACTTGACTTGGATTACTATTTTTAGAAGGCAGCAAACAATTTATATTTTGTTGCACTATTCGGTTACATGTGTTTGCATTATATTCAAATTAAGAATGCATTTATTGCTATTTTCCTTCAGATTTACAAAGATGACCTACTAGCTGCAATGATCATAACTATTCATGACTTGATATCGATGAATTGGTTATCCTTATGTATAATTGTGTTGTTGGCTATGTTAGATAATGCATGTCCAACTTATACTTTTATTTGCCTTGCTTGGAGAAATAAAGCCAGCTCATTATGATAATTTCTTGCGATATTATATTAACAGCAAAAGAATGGACTTTACTTTAAAATGTAATTTTTTAGCTACAAATTGTCCAATATAATTTTATAAGAATACTAGTCAGGCAATATTCCTAGATATTTGTTATACCTGAAAGGTTATTTCTTAAAAGTAGGAAATTGTAGGGCTTGTATAACCTTTATAATGGAGATTAAAAACCTTATTCTCCAACCTCAGGCTCTTGTTTCAAATGCCAAAAAAATTGCAAAAACTGTAGATTCAAAACTTCTTGATGGCTATGATTTTAACAATAGTAACTGTCTCCTTTATCTTACAGATTCAAAGAAAATATCTATACATTATTACTCTGATACTATTACTGTATATCCTGAAGGGCATGCATCATACTGTTTGCAACGATTGGTAGTGATGCATACCTGAATTCATTTTTTTANGGGTAGCACAAGATATTAAATACTGAAAAAAGAGAAATCAGCAGCAAATGAATTTAAACAAGTAAATATGTCTCTCAAATAATAAAACTATGAAGTGAACATTTTATTAAGGAATAGCATAAAAATCAAGAATCTCAGTTAAAGATTACCAAAACCCCTACACTGGTCAAAGAAACAGACTTAGATTCATGCTGACCTCCTAGCTTCCCTTGAGAAAACCAAGGTTGTAGGAAAATCACTGTATCCTAAATTCATTCTACTCACCATAATTGAAAGTAATTATGGTAAATCACTCTCAATAGTAGAATCACTCTTATTTGTTGAAATATAGCCACCTATTTAGGACAGCCTTGAAATAGATCTTTTCAATAGATTTGATAATTATTGTCAAAAATAATGGCGAAGATTTTATAACCAAACCCTCATAATAAATTAGACTAGAAGATTATTATTATGGTTATATAATTCTTCATTCAGCGTGCTTATCTTATTTTAAATAATTGGTTGGAGCTAAGAGGAAAATAGTCTTAAGCTAGCCCTCTGTACAAATCTCAAAATGTATTATGATTATCTCAGAATGGATTCAAAAAAGTCTCATACAAAAGTACAACCCAAAGGTTGCAACAACTCCAAATAAGATGCATTAAACGTAAAAATAATTCTTCCTATTGAAATACTGATTAATTCATAACCTTCCATACCAAACAGGATTATTGCTCACATCAAAGTGAAAGAATTATGAAACCTAATTAAAGTTCTGTTTAAGCTTATTATCTTTTTTTATCCTTGAGCAGCATGGAACAGTTCTAGGATCTAGCTGTCACTAGGCTTGTGTGATTAATTTTGTCGAAATTCATTTTACATTTACTTGATGCATTATATTCAAATTAAGAATGCATTTATTGCTATTTTCCTGCAGATTTACAAAGATGACCTACGAGCTGCAATGATCATAACTATTCATGAGTTGATATCGATGAATTGGTTATCCTTATGTATAATTGTGTTGTTGGCTATGTTAGATAATGCATGTCCAACTTATACTTTTATTTGCCTTGCTTGGAGAAATAAAGCCAGCTCTTTATGATAATTTCTTGCGATATTATATTAACAGCAACAGAATGGACTTAACTTTAACATGTAATTTTTTTAGCTACAAATTGTCCAATATAATTTTCTAAGAATACTAGTCAGGCAATATTCCTAGATATTTGTTTTACCTGAAAGGTTATTTCTTAAAAGTAGGAAATTTAAGGGCTTGTATAACCTTTATAATGGAGATTAAAAACCTTATTCTCCAAACTCAGGCTCTTGTTTTAAATGCCTAAAAAATTGCAAAAACTGTAGATTCAAAACGTCTTGATGGCTATGATTTTAACAATAGTAACTGTCTCTTTTATCTTACAGATTCAAAGAAAATATCTATACATTATTACTCTGATACTATTACTGTATATCCTGAAGGGCATGCATCATACTGTTTGCAACGATTGGTAGTGATGCATACCTGAATTCATTTTTTTATTGAGGTTTTGAAATCAATGCACTTCAATATTCTGCTCCTTCTAGATTTCTTTGTCTAACTCAAACCTCTGAGGTCTCAAATTAATTATTACATCCAGCATATGGAAGGTAATCCACACTAAATGTATTTGAAATTGGATAAACTAATTCTTAGAAAATGACATGCTGACATAAAACAAAGGAGGGATTTAGGATAGCTACTCAGTATGATTCACATGTAATTATTAAAGTTCTTCTAAAACTGTACTGGAAGCGTTATCACAAAGACATTATATGATGATGGCTAGACTAAAAGAGTTTGTTGATTAACATGCGAAATGATGTGCTGATCCCAAATATGATCTGTTTCACTGGATTATACTAAGGAAAATAGCTTTCTTATTGAAATAGCTAGAAAAACATCGACTTGAGATTTTCTGACATCTCCAATACTTCATGAGTCCATTTCAATCAAGTTCCTCATTATTTGTGTCAAAGGTTGTACCAAATCTGACAGCAAAACAGTGTGCATAGTATGTAAATGACGCCAATTAGGAATGTTCTCAATGATGTCAAAATTGTTTCAATAGTCTTACATGTTTAGCACAGCTTAGACATACCTTGAAAGAGTGGTAAGTAATATATATATTACTCAGGTACCCAAATATTAATTATTTAAAATAAGTGATAATAATTTCTCCATTTCAAAAACCTTAAGGATAATCTCGAGAATATAAAATTTATGCCCGAAAGAATCTTTACAAGTTCTATTAGTAAAATAAGTGGATATGAGAATTATTATTAACGTTACCTAACAAATATAACCTATATCACCAAAAAAGTTGGAAACTAGGATTGTAAACTTTTTTTCGAAATTGTAGTAGTACACTAAGCGTTTATTCTTGATACAATAAATGGTGGCACTTCTTTACAATATCTATGAGGTTTCTATATGGTTAATTCTAATTCATGCTAGCCATGCAATTAGATCTGCAATAAGATTAGATTGCTGAGCAAAATATTAGTCTTTATCAACATTTGCTTTTCAGTAGTTATCCATGATATCAATTAAGACTGTTTCATATACTCACCGAGAAAACTGGAAGAAGATGGAAAACAAAACTACGAGCTATTAAAAGAAATCCAGGCACTACTAGAACTCAAAGAAGAAAGTATCCTTGAGAATAAGTATTTTGTCTTAATGAAAGAAGCCAATCGTCACTAAGTATTAATTTGATACTTGAGGATCAATTTGAAACTGCCAAAACTAAAAACTAACCTCTATGACATTTAGTAATATAGAGTAAGGACTTTAATATCAAATTGTTTTAAGAGTTTGGAGCAAGACTGCAAAAGAATATTAGGATGGAGCTCATTAATATTATATTTCATAGTGGAACTCTAAGTTATTGGATGAGTAGGCCGTGGAATGATTAAAAACAAGGTCAGTCTCACTTGATTAATTTCATAGAGTCAATGATGATTAAATGTAATTGAAGCTTTAAAGTTTTCACTTAAAGCTCTGAAGATGTTAGACAAATAGGAAAATTTTGTCAATACAAAATGCTTTAACAAGAAAAATTGTGGATATCCTCAGTTTTTTTTTGGACAATTAACGTAGAGTTTGCAGTAATGGATGAAAGATGCCTGCAATTCAAATCTTATTTTATATGACTTTAATAAGACCCTAACTGTATTACCAGCAACAACTCCATATTAACTTGTCAATAAAAAACCTGCATCAGCTATTGCTTCTTAATATTTTTGGTTATTTATTAGGAAACCTTACTAGATCCTGGTGCCTGCACTTTATGTTCGACTTCCTAAGCTTCCGTAGTCAATGTCACTACATTTATTAATTGTATTATTGGTTCGTTCTTAAGGTAGATAATACATATTAAGCTTGTTCCTTCCCTTGCGTTATTTTTGGCAAATAGGAGTTATTTATTTATAAAGTTACTCTCGTTGATAGAATAATAGCAAATATATGTCTTAAACAAGACTAACTTATAGAATTTTGATTACATTCATTTATTTAAAAGTAGATTAAATTGCTTTAAATGTATTTGATAAATATTGGTGCAATTAGAGTTATATATTTGGATGTTTCTTGGTACTTGTGCATTTTAGCTTACAAATTTTAATATTTATGAAAATTTTTAGGGATTTTGTCTTTGTAGTTTATATCGCTGTTTCGTATTTCATCTCTCACTCCATATTTCAAAACTTCGGAGTTACATTATTTAAAATGAATTTAAGTTGCATAGTTAGAACATATAAGAGTAGAGCTATTAACAGTGCAGAAATATAAAAGTCTCAATTAAAAACTAATACATGTTAGGATCTTGTACAAGTGCTGGCAGCATATAGGGTCAATTATTCGAAATTTTAGCACAATTAGGGTGTAATTTGCTTAAGAATATTGATAGGGAGAACATGAATAATTAATTAGCTTCACAATTATCACATCATTTTAAGATAGGCTGACTAAATTAGGAGGTTAAAAATGCTTTAAATTAGGTAATACTCTTAGCAAGAAGCCATCATAATAAGTAGTACAATGGCCTGCTGATTTAAAACATTCCAGGGTTTCACAAATTATCGCTTGATATTTATCTCGTCTATAGCTGCAGTTCTTGTATCAATATCATCCTTCTAATTTCTAGATGAGTCCCAGCCTGTTTTTTTTTAATCTCCTGAAAATTATAATGATAGCTCATCACCTCTTTGTGATTATTAGTAATACGCAATCAAAATTACATGAATATTTATAGATCCAATATTCAGTTAGATGGCTGTTTAGATATGACTCTGAAGCCATTACTATTTGTAATTACAGTGCCCGTAATTTGTTGGAGATATGAGTTTCTGATTTAGTGTCATTATATTTATAAATGCAACATTTCAGTTTTGCAAGTATTATCAACACATATTCAGCTACATGCACTTCATATATTTGGATTTAGATAGAATTCATCATAGAAAGTTAGCTCATGATTGTAAATATTATATGTCAGGTGCTAGTTAATGTGGATCCTTATTCAATTTAGTCATAAACACATAATGCATAAGAAAGATTCTAATAGATGTCACGCAAAAAACTAACTATAAAGTCATAAGTTGATTTTTCAAATATTGTTTGCATATTTATATTGTTTTAGGCTGAACTTTGATGAAGATATATTCACAATGAAAGATTCGATAGAAAAAAAAACCTAAAGTGGAATCAAATGTGTATATTAAAATAATCTAAAAATATACACAAATAGTTGTAAACTTTATTTATATATACTATTTTTCTTTTAAAATAAACTTAAGAAATTTATTTTTGGATAAATAGATGTGAATATAAAATTGTAATATCCAAATATGATAATGCTTCATAATTTTGACAGTTAATTTTGTATATAAGCATCCTAACCCAATCCAAGTCCCTATGCAACCAAATAAAAGTATTTAGCTTCTTATTATCTACGTAATTCAAATAATGAATCAGCTAAAATTATTGTTACAGAAGAATTTACCTTTAAATCTAAGTGCAGTAGTTTTTAACTTAAGGGCTTACTCGAAATTTGAGAGTGAATCCATAAATTTTTATTATTTGTTTAGGATTAAACCTGAATAAAAAATAATATTTACACCTTTATTTTCAAATGCTCCATCACATTTAGGGTTAATAAATATAGATATATTGTAACTTTCAATTGCTTCTTGATATTGTTTCAATTTTTTTAATACATTACCTAATTATTAATATTTAATATCTATTTACCCTTGTTATACCATGCAAAAGAATGAATATGGTTAATAGATATTGCTTCATTGTAACATTGTAATGCTTCTTGATATTGTTTCAATGTATATAATGTCGTCCCTAAATATAAATAGTTAACGATGAATTACGCCATTCCATGCTGACTCAATTTTTGAATTAATAGAAATTGCTTTGTCGAAACATTAAATTGCTTTTTAATATTGATTCAATTGATATAGTGCAGACCCTAAAGATTAATACTTAAAAATTAATTACCCTTGCCATTGCATGCTGACTCAATTTTTGAATTAATAGAAATTGCTTTGTCAAAACATAAAATTGCTTTTTAATATTGATTCAATTGATATAGTGCAGACCCTAAAGATTAATACTTAAAAATTAATTACCCTACTCATTCCATGTATCATATTATTTAGGGATAATAGAATTAGCTTTGTCATAACATGCATATGCTTTTGATATTGATTCCTATTGGCTAATGTTGATCCTAATTATAAATACGATTTTTTTCTTCTTTAGGATTAATAGAATTGGTTAAATCATAAAAATAATAATTATAATTCATTAAATGTTTCATAATTTTAAATCAGAAATTTCTAATTGAAATCTGATTTCTATAATTCAATAAATTATTTCGCTTAAATTTACAAACCCTTTCTCATTAAAAAAGTTTATAGTTATAAGTCATAAAGGTTAATAATCAAATAATATATCAAATTTATTGACAAATTAATAACATTAATTTAGAAATTTTAAATCTTTGAATATAAAAAAAAAAATATATAAAAATATCAATTCTTCAAATCAAATAGAAAAAACTTCATTTGCCATCAAGGGTTTGGGGTTTGGGTTTGGGTTTGGGTTGGGTTTGGGTTTGGGTTTGGGTTTGGGGTTGGGTTTGGGGTTGGGGTTGGGGTTGGGTTTGGGTTTGGGGTTGGGGTTGGGTTGGGGTTGGGGTTGGGTTTGGGTTGGGGTTTGGGTTTTGGGTTTGGGGTTGGG